GGCTGGAGTTAAACGGAGAGCCAGGCCTTCCTTAAAAGAAATAGTAGTAGCCACCAAAATAGCCGTAAATAATAATTGTAGCATATATGGAGTAAGCCCTATGTGCTCATATTATAATGTATAATGAAGGGAAGGCGAATGTAAAAGAGCCTCAGTCCTGGTGCTGGTTTCTGTTTGTAAATCCTTTAAGCTCACCACATAAGACTGTACATAAAGGAGCATGATTTAGATTATTTTCTTTTTTTTTAACGTATATAAATCTTTGGTAGAATCTATGCCCCAAATTATAGATGAAAAATTTATTGCATGAACACAACCCAGCCATATAAATTTTTTATTACAAATAGGACTCTGAAACTTGAATAAAATATGTCAGTTTATTATACAATATTCCCCACCACCACCACCTAAAACATGATATGAATGGAAAATCGAAGTTGTGAGGTGCTGGTTTGACGGTGGAGGAGCCCATGGTGCAGAGGAGCAGGCTCAGCATGGGCAGTGGCAGCAGAGCCCGGCTCATCTGGCATCACCAGCAGTATTTTGATTCCACTATGCAGGGATCACCTTTACTCTTTGGAGAATAGATGCATCTGCACCTGAGTTACCACACTGGCTGCTAGCAAGAGCTGTCCATAAGTAAAAACTAAGGTCAACAGCAATGAATTGAGTTTGGGCAGACAATAAGGCCAGTCCCTGCAAGTCACTGTTACCCCGGGCTGGAAAACACGGTGTGTGGAGAAGGTGTGAGTGACCAAGAAATCATCCTGCGTCTCCCAAGTCAGGTAGCCATGAGGTGGTTCAGCACTGGGGAGTGCCATGACACTTGAAGCGGGTTTTTTTTGGTGCATGAGTGTTAACAACTCTTCACCGTCTGTGTCACAGTCTACAAAAAAGAACAACATTGTCAGTCTGTTGACACTGGTCCTGTCCACGGGCCAGACTTTCCTGGGAAGGTTTTATTCTTTCCAAACAATGGAGCGCTCCCTTCCAGCGCTCTGAGCTCTGCTTCCACGCAGCCGTCATGCAGCCCGGCTGGGGCTGTGCTCCTGCTGCAGCTGAAAGGCAAAACTGAGCATTGAGAAGTCCAGAGCTTCCATCCTGGAGTTGCAGGTCACTGTCTGCTTCTGCTTGGAGATCAGACAGACCTGGGTCTTGGGTGTTACATCCTCTGTAGTGCTGCGGTAGTGTATGCACGAGAAACAGATTCAAAGAGGAATGGAGAATAGAGGTGTAGTAGGGAATGCTACTTTGGAAAAACTAGCCTGTTTTGTTGTTGTTTTTGGTTTTTTTTCTTTATCCTTTAATCATAGTTGATGCTTGGAAGTAGAGAGTAAAATAGCTTCAACGTGCTTTTTATCCTGTTTCCCCGTGATTACAGTTGATAGCAGATCCCCTTGAGCGTCTCTCATCCAGCAACCTGGACTCTTATGTACGCGCTCAGTACTAACTCTGGCTGCTCGAGGGTTAAGAATTCCAACCACTAACTTTTCTTTAACTAAAAAAGCCCCCAAATAAAACCCATTGTGCTATTCAAGGTTAAGCTTCCTTAAATATAAAACTAGATTCCTTGGTGATTTTTATTTTATTTTTTTTAATCAACAGTCTTAATAGTGGTTCCTCACTATAATATTTCCAACTCCATCTGAAATCATTTAAATCCTCCCCTTAATAACATGCACTTTATTGTAATATACAGATTCTTTGGCTTCCTACCAGCCTTAGCTTAAGGCACCAATGAAACTCGTTGCCGCAGGGGGCCGTGGATTCAAGAGGGGCTCGCATCTACTGTATATTTTGTTTTGTATGTTTTCCAATGGCTCTAATTATTGCAGGTGGTAGAATTTAACTGGCAGTGTTGTTGCTAAAGAAAATAGGCATAAAGTGTATACTGTTTTGCAGAGTGGCTATCAAATATATAGAAAAGAGAAAATCAAATGAATTGTTAAACTGCTCTATAGTAAGTGATTTTATTGATTTAATGCAAATGCTTATGAAAACGATCTTCCATTTATATCAATTATGTATGGGTAAAAATTAATTTATTCCTCCGGTCACCTGTTTGGCTGACTGACTCAGCAGGACACATATTCCCCCTTCCTGGTGTAGCTGAGCCCGCAAACCGCTCCACATCCCCAAAACTGGAATTGTAAAGTTTCCATGTGCAAAAGCAACAAAAAAGCCCCGACAGGAGTTCCTGCCAAGTGCTGCAAAAGCAGAGAGCGAGCGGTGGAGCCTGGGCAAGACTCTCTTGTCCTAGGCAAGACTGTAAAATACAACGGCTCTGATTTTGCCAATCCCTTAACCATGTGGCTGCACATTTATATGTACCAGATCATCTGCAGCATCTGAATAAAATCAGGGAAGCAAAATTCTGCATATAAACATTTTGGCTAAGTGCCTTAACTCCGTCTTCTTATCTGGGGTTTCCACAAGATGCCACCTTGCATAACAATGCTGAGCATACGCTTGCCCAGTACATGTTTTCGGTAGCCTCCCATGATCACAACCGCTGTCGATTGGTTTGAATTCTACCTCATCCTGCTTTTTATTGCCCCGTGCCTCTCCAGGAAGAATGGTGCTAAAAGCCTTTGTTGTCTTTTTTTAGGAATTAATATTTAATTTCAGCAGAAGGGGTGGGTTACAGGGAAGCCAAATCAGGAAAAGCCTGATCGCGGTAGCCAGAGTAATAAAAGAAGAAAGTTAAGATTCGGTATGCAAACAAATGTCCCACTGCCCGTAGAGTCTCTCTTGTGCCACTGGCTTTGGTGTTGGGAAAACAGCGCTCCACGCAAACAAAAGTACTTTGTTTCTCCAAATCCCAGAGCAGCTCCAGCTCCGTGGGCTGCCCACCGGCCGCAGGGCTAGGCTGGGACCATGGTGCCAGGCTGGGGGCTGAGAGCCGCCACGGAGCCCTCATTCCTCTCCCTGCTTCCCTGGATTCACTCACACTGCGGTAGGAAAATGTCCTTTGAGTCCCATATTTCTGCAGTAACTTTTTCCAATATATAATTTTTTTGTGGAATTCTGACCCTACTTTAAATTTTAAGCCCAAATGCTGATTGAGCCTTGAGGAAAAGGGAAACCTTAAAAAATAAGCCTAATGCCTGCGGTGTAAAATGAAATCAATTGAATGTCAATTTTGAATGTTAACTAAATATTTTATATTCCTAATATTTTACCTTTGTTTCTGCCTCTGTGGTATCAGAAACCTAAAACTTCCAGCCAAAATCCAGTGTCCAGAACATAAGAGCACCATGCACATTACCCGTTAAGTCTATGTGTTGTCACTGATTTGAGCTTCAGAGATAACTCAAAAGATCAATATTTAAAACAAAATTGCAGAATAATTTTTTGTCACTGGGTTTCATTGGAGAAATTATTAAAAATAATAAATCCAAAAGGCAGGAAATGGATTCTGGCCACAGTGAGAAACAGATCACGTTTTAGGAGAATTTCACTGATTTTAAATAGAACCATCAGGGATGAGGCTTCCTTTGCTAAATACTCTGAGCGTTCTTCTTCTGAAATTTTATCACAATTTGGTTTGTGAGCACTTTTTTTTTACCTGTGGCTTTTTAATTTATACGAGATTGTCCTCTAAGCTTCTGAATGATACCTAATGCATCCAGTCAGCAGGTAAAAAAAATCTGAATATTTAAAATAGGCATTTTCTTTATAGTGCTCTGTGGTAATTAAAATCTTCATTTGCTTAAAAGCAAGGAACCTTTTTCAAGCAATAAATTAGCATTGCTTGACCGAAGGTCACTAGTAGTACTGCTTCTTCCAGCACTATTAATACCTCAAAGAAAAAGAAGGGGTGGTGTTATCACTCTTGCAATAGAAGTAAGATTTTCAATTTAATCACAGTTAGGTGGCGTGACCTTTTGATCTTACATTGACTTCTCACTGAAATGTGGTCAAATTTCAGACAGCTAATTCCAAACTCTGCAAAGTCAAGGTGAAGTCAGAAAATAGGTTTGCCACGGGTGGGGGGATGCTTTTGGTGCAGTTGCAAGTGGTTTCGGCTCCTAAGTTTTGTTTCACAGCGAAAACTTTGTATGGGGTCAATAAATTCAGAACAATTCCTAGGGGAAGAAAAAGCATCTTTTTCAATTGGTATTAATTGTAAAAACAGTAATTGGGGGATTATTTTATGTATTTTTTCACACAGGTAAGGGCACCTTTTTTCCCAATTCATAGGGATGAAAATAATTCCGAAGGAAAGCACTAAAGCTTCACCTAAGATTAACTTTTAAACCAAAGAGCAACCATCTTCACAGAAAGTAGAGTTAATAATGTGTAAAAAATGCAAACCACTCCTATTTACACACATCCCTTTATAGGTCAGTTTATTATTTTAGGCAAATAAATTGTGTTCCTTGGCGAGTGTTAGCTGGGAGTTTGCAGGACCCAGGATTTACACCGGTCCTAAAGCAGTTCATCCAGGATCTTAGTCTCATTCGTACCACTGCGAATCAGTGGCAATGCCGTATGTAGCACTGTCAGCACTGTGAAAGTATGACTAAAATCAGCTCTTCTAGCAGTTTGGCAGATTTTTGTTCCAGAAAATGCATAGACAACAATCTCCACAACTCTGTAGTGTTGCTTAGTTACCTTTATATGCCTGCTTGAAAATATGTTTTGAGGTTTTACTATGTGTTGGATTAAGGCTCTGGTTTGTATACAACAGAGAGGCTGCATTCAAAAAAAACATGTAGGAGAGTAGTTTAAATACGCCTTCTTTAAAAAGAAGGATTCTCAAAGCCTAATTTATGCAAGCACACACCCCAAGCACTCTGTGTAGTGCTGTAAACACGATTCCCTTTTTTTTTTGGCTAGCAAAATATTACCTGGGCACGGGACTTTTGCATTATCATGTCCTAGTGCAACGCTCCTGTCCTTAGTTTGTACTCTCAGCCTTTTGAGGAAGTCTGGCGCCTCTGATCTATTTTCCACAGCAGACCCTGTAATTTTTGGCTGTATTTTATGTTTTTCAGATTCAAGTCAATCTGAAAGTCCCAGCCAGCCAAGTGAAGCTGATATTAAGGACCAGCCAGAAAATGGTAAGTTCTTACCTGCTGCTCCTGCTTTGGGATATTAAAACAGCCCATATTTCTAAAGATATTTTTTTTCCCCTTATGTCTAGTATAAAAAGATGACTCAGAATAATTGGCATGGGATAGCCACATATAGGTTGTGTACTCTCCTCATAGTTACAATGCTACTGTTTCACTAACCTAAGGTAGCGTTTAGTCCTGGAGAGAGACTTTTTTTTTTCCCTTTTAAAATAATTTTAATTAGGGAGATGCCATTAAAGAGCCTTCTGTATGCAACCCTTATCCTTATTCCTCCATAGCAAAGGCTTTCAATCCCTGGGCTGTGAGTCATGACCCCCTAGGGGTGTGTGCTTCATCGCTTTCATTTTTATCTATGTGCTTTTAACTTCATTTTGTTTATTGATGCTCTCACATGACACACTCAAGTACCTAACTTTCAGTATGTGGCCAGCCATCATTTTAGAGCGCAGGAGCTCAGGCAGTCCCACCAAACAAAATGGTTGCTTTGAAATATGTTGCTGCAGACCCATTCTCTACGGCAAAAATCTGCTAAACAAAACAGAGCAGCCACACTCCCAAACGTTGCTGTTTCAGGGCAGGACTGCACACCCATAAACATCCCAGCTGCTCAGGCAGGTACCACTGCAGGACTGATACTGGTGCTACCGGCATTGCCTCTGCTTTGTCATTGGTGTTCTTTAAAGGTTGTAGACTCTATGGGTGAGCAGGTCAGGGAGGCTCAGCTAGCACTTGTTGCTCCTTCTCTTCTATATATTCTCAATACCGTTGTTTCAGGTGGCAGCAGCGTGAGTTTATTTGGAAGTAGCAGTAGGTTTGTGGCTTTTGGGGAACATTAATATTCTTTAAAGTAGAAGAAATAGCTTCTACTGAGCCAATGGCTTGCTTTGTAAAGCAGCCTGAAGAAAAATCATTCCATAATTTCTGTAGGGACTGCATGTGAAAGTATAAGTACATGTGTAAGGGAACAGCTTCTCTTTTTATGTTTAAATAAGGTAGATATCAACAATTCTTGTTGTCCCGTTGGCAACTGAGTTTTGTTTTGCTACTTACATTTAGGCCTTAGAAATAATGTCTCCCAAAGTGACAGTGGTTATAATTAATAGTTTCTTTTGACTCTTCTCATACATAACCACAATTTCTTTTAGTAAGACCTAAACGTAGATGGGGCACTCACTGTATTGGGGTCCACTGTGCATACACAGGAAAGAATTTGTGTGAAGGATTTGTCTCCACCATCTCCTGTAGAAATATTGTATCTATAATAATACAACTGTGATTGCCCTTTCACAGAACATCTAACTGCTTTTGCCTCAAATCCCTACGACTGTATCTGTGTTTAGAGTGTATTTTGGGGACTTTATTAGCAACCAAACAAGCTGCAAGTGGGAGTGAGGTTGAAGGGCTACATTAGCATCCAGACTGCATTTGGATCAGGGTTTAAAGAATTAAGGGAAGAAGAAGACGTTTAGGTACATAAAAACCTTTAAAATACCAGCATATATCGTAGGACATAGAACATAGGGCTGATTGGGCTGATGAGATTTTGGCTTTTGGGATTCCTGTATTTTCCTGCCATTGAAATATGAAAGGTTTCATATTTTGATAGATTTTGTGCTGCTCATCTCTAAACATACCATCTTAAAACATTTCTGCCGTCTCTGATCGACAGTGCCTCATTTCCTTTATCAATCCTGTTCACAGAAATTCTAATTTGTAGCCAAAGGATTGCAAGGTTAAGAGAAGAACTGACTAAACTGTGATTTTTGTTCTGCCAATTCTGCTCTGGGTTTTTTTTTATAGTAGGGAATATGTTGCCTATGTTTATTAAATCATATTTTAATTTAGAAAGTATTAGGCACCACGCATGTTATTATTTCTTGTTTAGATAATACTCTTTCACAGCTATTAAACCACAGTTCTTCTTACCCTGCAGTTTCTTAGTCTTAAGGAAGCCTATTACTCAACAGCCGCCCCAAAAAGCAGCAATGTCAGTGTTTAATAATGTCAAATCTGTAAGAGCCTAGTGAAATGAAATCTCTCTGATTTGGAGCCTGACTCTTCCTTGTAAAACAAGCTTTTAGTGAATTCTTGGAACTTCACTGGTGACCTGCAAAAGGTACTTTTTTCTTCCTTAATACACAGGAAAAGGATTTTTCTTTTTCTCTTTTACTAAAGGGTGTTTTTCCCCACCACAGCAGAACACTCCCAACCGATTACGCACCTTTTGCAGTGCCTGTGTGGGAGATTTTCCTTTACAAATGCCTCTAACACAGTCTGTTGGCCCTAAAGGGGTTGCTGCCCCTGGGCAGACGCTGAGCTCATTCTCAGCACACACAGCCCCCCAGCTCGCAGTGTACCCAGTGTGTAGATCAACACAGATCTGCAGCTCTTATCTACTGAACATGAGGATGAAAGCAAAACTGCAGGCTTTAGAAAATGAAAAACTGCACACATAGGAACGGACACAATAAATCATATTAGCTGCGTTGTTCTACACTTGCTGTAGACCCACTTCCACAGGGCCTGGTCCAAATCCCTCTGGAGTCAATGGGAGTCTCGTAATTGATTTTACTGAGAGTGGGAATGAGCCCACACAGAGAGGAGGAGGGTTTTTTTAAATCAAAGACAAATAGTATTGTGCATAATCTTATTCCTGCTGACGCTGACAGCGGAATGACCAGATTGAGGGCAGATTTGGAATCATTTTGCATGTGTTTCTGGAAGGCACAAAGGAGTGTATCGATTAAGTACTACCTTCTACATGCATGCATTCCTTCATTTTAAAATAATAAATCTTTAAAGGCCTTGTGAGGGTTATACAGCCTCTCTACTTGCCTGTTAATATCCTTTCTGTTCCACTCCATAAATTCTAGAGCTATTTATTATACACATATATTTTGCATACCTTGAGTAATGTAGGTTCAAAAGGGTCAACTATACAGCCCTGGAAAAGAAGGACTCCTACTATAGATTTTGATTTATCATTCTAAATTGTATGTGTTATTTTGGAAAGCCTGTATGTCTAACCTTCATTAGAGTGAAGTTCATGGGAAAAAAAGCTTTTCTTTCTTAAGGCCCCTCTTTGTTTATAGTGGGCTTTACAATTGCATTTTCTGGTGGAGCATCATCACAGAGGGAGGAGATGGTGACATCTGCTCTCAGTGGTGGCTTTAACACCAACTGTAGCCTGTTTTTCAGCTTCCATTGAGCCAGAATAGTTTTCAGGCAGTCATTCTCATGATCACTAGTGCAAATTTATACAAATATTAAGTATTTAGTATTTTCTTCAAGAGAGAGGTATCCAGTGTGATGGTCATGAAAAGCAAATGTGGAGGTGAGACAGGACCTGTTCATGCATGCATGGTCCTAAGACTAGGGATAAAGCTGACGTAGAACCAGTGTGCACAGTGCTGCTGCCTCTCAGGTCTGTTAGAATGGGAAAGAAGCTTTTGGGGAGAGGAAAGAACCCCAGAATTCGTCTGTCTGTGATGTGGGTGAGGAAATTTGCAGGCAGGATGATGAAAGAGACCAGCAACTTCATTTGAAAGGCAGGAGCGTGCTCCGATGCCCTGATATTTTACTCAAATGAGGGTTTTTTTTTTACCAGCTGGGTGGAACACCCTGTGTGGAAAATTCCCCACTTTTGTAGTTGCCTAATGGTATGTAAAAGGTTCATTTCAGTTGGCACCGCAAAGTGATTTTGCAATTCATCCAATCAAAAAAAAAAAAGGTTATTGATTTTAAAAGCTGGTTAAATGCACTGGTTTGGTGGTGTCTCTGATAAACAGACCAGTTTGCAGTGAACTGAGGATGACAAAATGGCTAGTCTGATGTAGTGAAGTGACTGCATGCCTGGGGATCAGGAACAACTGAATTCCCGGCTCAGCACTGCCGTGGACTCTCTCTAGGGCTTTAATTCTCACTTTCAGGCGTGGAAACAGCCATCAGATAGAGTTTCTTTTTGTCAGTAGGATTATTTTAAACTTTTGTAGGAAAACTTTTCAGTCTTTTTGTCTGCAGAGGGAGGATATTTGTGATTGTAGCTTTCAGAGATTTATTGACTATTAACAGTCAAACCCTGCTCTGCTCCATCAGGAGTTCAGCTCTGGAGAAAGGCAGGGAGTTAATAATTGTGGTACAGCACTGTGTTACTGCTGTCAGTAAATGGATGTCAGACATCCACCCGGTGATGTTTGTGTTTGATGTGGTAGTGCTGGGGAATTAATAACTGCAGCGTAAAGGTACACACGCAGTGTGCTGTGTACAGCAGAAGAATGCTGTGTCATTTCCTACACACCGCTGATGGGATTTGATAACTCCAAGTTGGGAGCGAACCACTTTAATTGTAGATTAGCAGCTTCTTTTTAAAGAAGTTGGTAAATTCTGCCATTTCAAGTGGGCAAGGCAGCAGTCATCATTACAGCTGAGTCCAAACGTGTGCCAAATTCATTGCTCAAACAGTTCCTATATCTAAAAACGAAAAATGTTTAATGCCCAAACCAAATGTTTTTTAGTTTTAATGTATTCTTGCTGCTTTGAGCTGCAAGTACCTTAACAGCACTGCAGGAAATGAAAGGCACATTGTTCCTTGTGACATTAAGTGGGAAAAAAAACAGAGGAAAAAAGAAAACCAATGATATACCGTAACTCACAGAACTTGTTTTTCAACCCTGCTGTAATTACACTGGACTTGTAAATATCATCTGTGAATTCTTTGCTTAAGTAGGGCTGGACTTGAGTATTAAACCGTAAAAAAATGTTTGAGTATATGCTTACTTTTCCATGCCTAAAAACATAAAGGAAGAAATGCCAGTCCTCAAGAAAGAGAATGCAATAGTGGGAACGTATGCAAAGAGAAGCTTCCTTTTCTCCTTCTCTAGGCAAGGCTGGTCATGGTAGGCCTAACACACCTTTGGCTGTAAGGAAGGAGGGGATCATGTGCAACCTGATAAAATGCAAGAGCAGCTTGTGAAAAGACCCCTCTG